CCAGGGGGCCCCGCAGACTCTGGGGGGCCCCCGGGGGCTCCAGCGGGGTCCCTGGGGCCCTATGGAGCCCCCGCAGACTCCCGGGGCCCCCGTGGGGCCCCAGCGGGCAGCCGGGGGCCCCCTTGGACCCCTTGGGGGGCCCCAGGGGCCCCCTGGGGCCCCCGCAGGCCCCCGGGGGCCCCCCGGGGCCCATGGGGGCCCCTTGGGGGCTCAGCAGGTTTTGGTTATGTGTAGGGTTTAGGGTTTAGGGTTTAGTGTTGCTGTTGCTGCTGTTGTTGCTACTGCTGTTGCTACTGCTTTTGTTGCTTTCGCTGTTGCTGCTGTTGCTGTCGCTGCTGCTGCTGCTACTGCTGCTGCTGCTGCTGCTGCTGCTGCTGTTTAGAGTTTGTTTTGTGCTGCTAGAGCAGCAAGAGCAGCAGCAAGATGAGAGAGGGGCAGCCCCACCACGTTGCTGCTGCAGCCGCAGATAGAAGCAACGAAACAAGCTGCAGCACCCTGGATGCCGTAGCCGCCTGTAATATAAAAAAAAATAAAAATAAATAAATAAATAAATATATAAATATATAAATATATAAATAAATATATAAATAAATAAGTAAATATATATATAAATATATATAGATGTATAAATGTATAAATATATAAATAAATGTATATGGACAAACAAAAGGAGACAAAAGGAGACAAAGAAGAGACAGGAGACAAAAGAGAGACAAAGAAAAGATAAAGAAGAGATAAAGAAGAGACAGAAAGGAGACAAAAGGAGACAAAAGGAGACAAAAGGAGACAAAAGGAGACAAAAGAAAACAAAGAAGAAAGACAAAGGGAGACAAAAGGAGACAAAAGGAGACAAAGAAGAAACAAAAGGAGACAAAGAAGAGACAAAAGGAGACAGAGAAGAAAGACAAGGAGACAAAAGGAGACAAAAGAGATAAAGGAAAAAGACAAAAGGAGACAAAAGGAGACAGAGAAGAAACAAAAGGAGACAAAGAAAAAAGAAAAGGAGACAAAGAAGAGACAAGAGGAGGCAAAGAAGAAAAACGAAAGGAGACAAAGAAGAGACAAAAGGAGACAAAAGAAGAAAAAAAAAGAAACAAAGAAGAGACAAAAGAAGAGATAAAGAAGAAACAAAAGAAACAAAGAAGAA